GAAAGACATTGAATTGTTGGAAAGGCTTCAGAGAAGGGTTACTAGAATGGTGTCTTGGGCTCCTCACCTTAAGAAAGACATTGAATTGTTGGAAAGGCTTCAGAGAAGGGTTACTAGAATGGTGTCTTGGGCTCCTCACCTTAAGAAAGACATTGAATTGTTCATTGAAGGGTTACTAGAATGGTGCCTAAGATGTAGGGGTTGTCATACGATGAGGGGCTTAAATCTCAAATTTTCTCTTGGGAAAAAAAAGAAGTTAGGGGGATCTGATTGAGGTGTTTAAGATTGTAAAGAGAATTGATAGTATTGATGCATCATCTTTACTCATATTTAACAGTGAGAATAGTAGGACTACAGGACACAAATATAAATTTTGGCAGAATGGGAGTTATCTTCAGCTAAGACAGTTTAATTTTTCTAACAGGGTTGTTGGCCTTTGGAATGGGTTGCCTTCAGATGTTGTAGAGGCAGTAAATTTAAGCGAGTTTAAGAAAAAGCTTGATAAGTATATGAATGAAAAGGGCTGGGTTTAAAATTTTTTTATTATTACTTTTTAATCATTTGAATTTAATTTTGAGGATGGAACAACCGAAATGGACCAATAGGTCCCATGTCCCAAAAATGTTAAATTTTTTAACTGCTTTAACCACAAATTTCCTTTCTGAATGTGCTTATGAAGCTATTGTCGGATATTTACACAACAAAATTTCTTATCATAGTTCTGAAAAAAATAAAATTTATGATAGAATCATAGATATTATTTTATAAGCTTTAGTCAAACACTTTAAATTATTTAAGAATAATTTGTCTTAAATGTAGTATTTGCCAAATTTCATTTTGTCTTAAATGGAAAAAACTTTTTTGAAGTTAATAGCACATGCATATACTTAATACAATGATAAACTTTCTTTAAAAACAGTGTGCAGTATTCTATCATAGATGAAATGAATCAATGCTAGAAAATTTTGGATGACATTCAATTTAATAATCTTGAAGTTTATGAAGTACTCTGTCTAGTAGGAATAATGTAAGGTTAATATGTATTTGCATAAAGTTTTAAGTGTAAATTTATAATAATAGTTAGATTTCGATTTTCATGGTAAGTGTTTACAGTCAAGTAAGTCTAATTAGTAAATACTTCATTATTATTTACTACCTAGTCTATACAATTACTTAAGTTTTATTTTATATTACTAGCCATTAACTAGTTTTTATCCTATGTTTTGGCTGCTAGTTTGCTGCCATTTTCAGGGAATGCCTGAGAAGAAATATTTCTGTGGCGATAAGGGCTGGTAATCAAACATGGGTCTTCTTGGTAAAGAAGCCAGTGCAATGTCTGCCTGTTTAAAGATACTGTTTGCACACAAGTATATCAATCATAATGGTTAGGCCTAAAATCAGGGCATATTACAACTTGGTTGGACCAGTGAGATTAGGTATGAACAAATAAAATTTAGTTTTTAGCAGTTATGAGAGCAATTATGTGTTTTCTAAGAATATTTGTAAGAAGTTTGTTCTGTAATGTGTTATTCTATTTCTAAGTCCAGGTGAAAAGGTTGGGAGTTGTGTATATTTTGTTGACTGTAATTAGATAACTTTGAAATAAATTGTTGACCATCTACTGAACATTGAACTATTTCCATGTTTATCTTCGAGACTGATGTTTTTGTAGGTCAGTTAAAGTAATGGTAATAACAAGTATAAAAAAAGGAAATACTTATTTATTGCCAGACGACCATTAATTGAATTTCCACATATACCAGGACATAATTAAGGAAAATTATACCAAAATTGGTAAGGCTGAGAATTTTATGCTTGATCTAACCACTGTCCATGACTTGTACTTTGTTGTAATTTCATGTTTTGTGGTTAATTATATTTATAATATGTGCAAGTTGTTACCTTGAAAGGCAGTAAGGATTCATACTAGTTGGTGCATTTGAGCCATGATAAATCACAAATTGGATGTGTGATTAACAAAAGGGTTCAGTTCAAACAAGTGGACTTATAGAAATCCTAATGCACAGAAAGGAAAATGCAAAATTCAGGGAAATGGGAAGAAATTAAAACAAAAGGAAGCATTGTGTTCTTGTTTATAGCAAGTGATCAGTTACATTGTTAGTAGAATAGTAATTTTAATAGTTTCTTTGAAGGGGATTGTAAACAAGGCATTAATTAAGTATGTGCTGATAATAAAATGTTTTAGTGTGAAGTGATTCCTCTATGATTTTTCTTTTTAGACAAATAATGGCATTGTTATTAAGTTCTGTTTTTTGTCATATCTATATTAGTTTCTTGCTACAACTGTGGGAAAAGTGGCCACATTGCACGAGAATGCAGGGAACAAGAGAGAACCTGCTATATGTGTGGCGCCCAAGGGCATATATCACGGGATTGTGAGCAAGAGGATAGGAAAGTAAAAGTAAGCTATTTTTTCTTCTGTTCAGTTGGTTTTTCATTTACCTTTTAATTTTCGTAGTTTAAGTCATCTGGTACCTGTGGATTTTTTAGCTTATTTATATAAAGTTAAAATTCAGAATATTATTTCCAATTTTAAAACATGCATGAAACTAATGAAGGTGAAGGTAATATAAAAATTAAAGAAATAAACCTCTATTAAATTAAGTATTCTAACTAAAGATTAGTAATTTTATTGTAGTTATTTGTACTTAAACTGTATTTCGAGTATTATCATCTACATGTGCAAAAAAGGTTTAGAATTAAGAACTAGAAAAAAATGTATGTACCTTTTTAGTTTTTGTTTATTAATCTTAAAAGATCTTCCTTTGTTTGTATTCTTAACTGCAAGTCTTTACATTTTCACAGTTTACTTTTAATATTTTAGATTTGTTTTCTCTTTTAGTATTATTTATTGTCACACATCAGTAGATGCCCTTGGTCAATATTATGGTATCATTACCAGAGATATTTTATCCTTCAGCAGAATGTTGTTACACTTGCTCACTGCACTACGCCTCATGAACCTAGGCAAAGTTTGGGTTATAATTTTATAAATTATTAAACATTTCTAGTATGAAGTTTAAAACATAACACGATTAAGATATAAAACTTAAATACAATTTAGGTATCTAATTAGCATATCTGTGTGTACTAGCAAGGACGTAAGTGTCATCAATACAAAGGGTGGTTTCAAGTTCTTGTAAGGAATTCTGCTTGCCAATTTGAAATTAACCATTGGAAATTGCCCATTTCTTATGTAATTCGATTCAGTAATGTGAATTGCAACTTGTATGGTGGGATTAGTAGTTAGGCACAGTTCAAAGGGCAATAAAACAATTTAAGCAGATATATCCTGTTACAAGATTTAAGCTACTTAGGATTAACAAATGTAGTTTTGTTACATTTTGAAATTATTCCAGAAAGAAAAAGGTTAATTTAGATTATTTCTATTATTTTAAGTTGATTACAAGGTTGATCAAATTGACCAACCTTGTATAGTGTTAGAGTAGAGAAAACGGAAAAAGTTTGAAACTCATTCAGAAGGTTTAAGATTATGCAAATGAAATTTGACAATTTTCGAATGAAGAAAATTATTTTTAATCTTACCACAAAAATTACTTTGTACTTGAGAACAGTCAACACTTTTGACTTCATATATTCAGATGTTTTTGGTAAAAATGCTTCATTAAAAAAAAATTTTTTTTTCCTACAAAAGGCTTGATTCTTACCAAAAGCTTGCAAAATTTCATGAAGATACCCAACATATTAAGTTAGTGTTAATATTAAGGTCAGTTTGGTGTCAGGAACTTGTAGGAGGTGAGTTAACGTGCATCTGTAGGTATGTTTCTGCAATTTAAAAACTGAATGGTCACTGGATTTATAACTGTAATAATAGGGCTTAAAACATTGTTGATTCAAAACCCAGGCAGTATATCTCATGGCAAGTAATTTTTTTTGTATTTGCTATAAGTTCAAAAAGTTTCTTAATTGTACTACAGAAGTACTAAATTTCAGTTTGTTTGCGAAAACCTTCATTGTATCTGTAACAAGATGATTGATAATCTATTGGAAAAAATAAGCTTACAATATTTATACTTACCCATGAAGGTATTCTTGCATATTCCTTTTAAGAATAAAATGAGGAGAAAAAGTGTTGATTCTTTTAAAAAAAAATAAGTATTTGTAGTATCATTCCCTGTTTTGTGTTTGTTATGAACAAGGTAGGATACTAGAGCTTTATTTCTGTTACCTAATAAAATTGCAGCTGCTAAGTTTGGATAGTTTTATATTTTTAATTTTACTCATCCACATTATCTTGACCTTAGTGGGAAGTATAACTGACTCATAATATTAGTTAAAAATGATCAAATGAAATTACTTGGACATTTCCCCATCTTAAAATTGTTTATTGCAAATGTTTAGCCCCTACATCATGACACACTGTAGTGTTGTGCGGGCAAAACAACCTGCACGACATGCTGTGTTATTAACAGGAGTGATTTTTCCACTTTCTGTAGCCCAGGCTCTGATAATTGAAAATATCATATTTTCAGTGGATATGCTCTAATAGGCCCTTACTTCATATATCAAATTTCAAGCCAATCCTTTAAGAAATGCACAAGGTATAAAATTTCCAGTTTTGATTGAATTTCTTCATTTTTGTTTACTTTCTTCACACCAAAAATACAAACTTTATTTGATAGAAAAACATACTTAACTTTTATGGATTTTTTTCAACTTTGGTACATTGATAGATCTTTACAACCTACAGTTAGGTATCAGATTTGGTCTAAATATAAGACTCATGTGCAAAGTGATTTAACAAAATCACTCAAGTTTGAATAAAGTCACGTCTAAATCAGTCTAAATGTTTCACTGCATTTTCACTTAAGAGTAAAAGTGGACTGTTTTTAGTTTTATGGCATTCAGATTAAAGATGGCTGATTTAGAGCAGCAAAACTATATGGTGAAAGCATGTGCAGATTAGGCCAAGCATACTAGATTAGCAGTTTCTAGTTCAGGTTTTCAAAAGAATTACATGGGGGGGGTAGTTATTATTCATTACCAACTTTTAAGTACAAATTTACTAAATTTTATGAAATTCTCCTAATTAAAGAGCATTAAGTGTCATGCGATATTAGCTTAAGCAATTGTCATATAGTTATGTTTGATACAGCTATATGAAGTGCATGTGGGTGATGTAAAGAAACTAGTAATCTAGATTCCGTGGTGTTACTATAAAGAAAGTTATTAACACTGTTTTAGAGGAGAAGCCCTACCACCATATAGTGTAAAGAATCTGGTTGGTTATGTAAAGTATGAGTCTGTTTGGAATAATCAGGGTGCGATCCTAAAGTTTGTTACTATCGAGTGTCACTTTCTTGCTTGCTGTGGTTTGTTGGTGTGTATTAACTAAGTCATGGTATCTAATCCAAAACATAGCTGTGAAAAATGTTAAGAGTTCATATTTTTGTTGTTTTTTTTCTATTTGAAAGCTACAGAAATTTTCTTCAGTGAGAAGACATCAGATAAACTTAAGTTTACTGAGCATGGTAGTCAAAGGCAAAATATTTAGACTCGAATCCTTATTTACTGAATGGTATTTTTGAGTCATTCAAAAAAAATGTACACAAGTAAATTGGTTAACTGTATACTAAATTATTTCTATAATGTTTTTAGAAGCATCATTAGCAGTGATAGTAAAACTATTGATTTACACATGATCAATGTGGAATTACTGGATATTATAAAACAAATAATTGTAAGTGTATGGTAACTTCAACATTAGTAATTCACAAAAATTTTTTTTAAATTCTCAAATAGCTAAAATACTGCATGTTTACTAAAAACAATATTTAGAGGCAGGTATAACAATAGTGCTTTGTAATGTAAGCGTGACATCAATTTCAAAAAACTGTTCTGTGTACTACCAATATTTTTATCTGTTCTCAATTACTGTTGCTTTAATGGTGTTAGAACATATCCATGCCCCCAGATGAGATGTTAGTTATGCATGAATTTTGGAATCATCATCGACTTTAGTAGTATATCTACAGTTTTGGGCAGTAGGAAAGCTTTTTATCACTCCTAATTGTTTTCATCCTGAGCAATTGGTGCAAACTAGGGAGAATTTATTTTTTTAATTTTTTTTTATATAATTCACTCAGGCTGTGCATGTTGTCAAAAAGTGAAGTTTAATGATGTGACATAAAAATTCGACATTTGTGGCAATACATGTGAATTTTGTGATTTTAGGATGTTATTTACTTGCATTAATCAGTATTATATACTTACAATGTTTAAAACCAAAATTAGTAATATTTTGGAATACTTGGAAGGATAGTTTTTTTTAATATTTAGGCATCTTTTGTGTAAAAGGTTACTTTTTTATTTTGTCCTTTATTTTCTTGACTAACTTAGCACACTGAGGTAAGAATACTAGTTTAATTTGAATAAATTTTTTTTGTCGAGGATAGCCTCTGAGTTTGTTAGAATACCTTAACCACAGGTTCCAGAGAAAGCAATCCCTGGACCCCTGCTTGTTGTCTTGTTATCATGGGTGCAGCTAATTGTTTCTTGCATTATCAATGTTTGGAGTAGCTGTGTCAAACAAACCTTACAGTAGTATTCTATTTTAGATTTAGGTGTGCATATGTTGAGTGTACAAACTAAATTTGGAACTTAACTTTCATATGTTTGTTTATAGTGCTATGTCTGTGGCAAGAATGGCCATATTTCACGAGAGTGTCCAGAAGGTGAGAAAGATGACCGCAAGTGTTATAACTGTGGAGAAACTGGACATATAAGTCGGGATTGCCCTGAAGGTGGTGAAGCTGATGACACAGTTTGCTATCGGTGAGTAGAGACTACTGCTCTCTCACGTGTTCCAAAGTTAATCAGCTTGAGGGAAAGTGAAGATATTATGGTGGCTGCATTCGGACGTGATACAGTCGTGATGTTTGATTGTGTTTATATTTAAAGACATAGGTGTTAATATGACAACATTGGACTTCTTTATAATTTTAAAATTTTCTCACCTATGTTGATTTTTTTTTTCTGTGCTGAGATGCAGATTCTAAATTTATCTATGTATTGCCTTAACCAAATAAATTTTTTAAAATGATTTTGTTATCTGTTTTGATCGCATTTTGTCTATTTTCTTTTCTTTAATTTTTATTTTAGCTTTATAGGTAACCAAAGCCTTTTTTTGATATATTTGCATATCTACTTGCAAGTGAATTGACTAATTGCCCTTATGTCAGATGTATTCACAAATTGCTAAAAACGTTTTATTGGTGGGGGTAGACAGAGTTTAGAAACTATTTAACTTTGGTTTCCATCATTAAGAATGTAAACTAAAACATTTTATCAGGATATTTGGCATGTAGTAGTTAAGCATGTTTGAGCAAGCATGCATACCTATAAATGCATTTTGTAAATTATTTTGTTCATAGTCTGTTTTTATTTTCCTTTATTTATCCTAACCTACACTAGGTATTCCTTACAATCTCTTTTTAACACCCAGATCCAGAACAATACGAGGAAGAATCTAGCTAGGAGTCAATATTTTTTTTTATAACAAATCAGTATATGACAGTTTGTTCATTGTAGGTGTTAGTTTTTGATAATCTTTACAAGCCATAATATTTGTTGGAGTCTTAAAACAGAATATATATATGAATTATAGTATTTACATGTGATAATACCATGACAGTAATAATGGACATAGAAAGCTTAAAATTACAGCATGTATATTGTAAATATGGCATTAACAATTTGTTTAATCCATTAATTTACAATCATTTCACTGCCTACTTAATTGCAAATATTGCCTAGGAAATGACCAACCCTAGAAATTAGTTTAATAAACCACTCCCCCTACCATTCTTAATTCTTTTAAAATTGTATGCTGATGTAAGAAACTCCACTAAAGTCCTGTGGACAGGAAAGTATGGAAAGATAGTGATATTAAAACGTTTGTTCTATAGTTCTGTTAATCTACAAATATCTAGGATTTAAAGTATCTGTATATTAGGTACAAAAACAAAATGTGTAGTTGCTTTAGTTTATTTTGAAATTGGCCATTTCATTAGAATAATTGTCTCAAATGCAACATGCTTGATTTATATTTTACAAACCCTAGGAATATTTTTCATGGTTTGAGTAATCACACAACTTTTGAGTCCAACCGTTTGAGTGCAAGTCATCCTGATGGTTGTCAATGTGAAATTTGTATTCCGGTTTCTTCAGAAATTTCATTACAGAATTGCAAATAAAATGCATTCTGTAGAAATGTAATAAATAATTAGTCTTTATCAGTACCTGTGAAAAATTAATATCCACTCGGCAAATTTATGAAATGCACAATAATGTCACTCGTATTCTGTGGGTTTTTAAAAAGATTTGGGAAAAATGTATTGAACATAATGAATTGTAAACTGTGATCAGCATACAATTCTGTACATTATTTAAAAAAATTATAGTTTTAAAAGTAATGTTGAAGAACTCAAAGTGTGTACATTTTGCGTCAAAGCATGAGTTTCTTGGAGCTGGTCAGTTTTTGGTTTGAGGAACAGCAGTAGTAACTATATTAAAATGAAAAACATTTGGAATAAATTGTATTTAGTTTATTTTGAAACTAAAAAATTAAGGTGACTTACATAACCATCTTTGACCAAAAATTTTTTTAATTTGTTGCTTTGCCTTTGGTATTAGTTTATCATTTCATATTTTCAGTAAATTGATATTAACTCCTTAAACTGGAGCATACACTGCTAGTGTATGGCCAGAATTCCTGATTTACCCATCAGACAGTGACAGCACCCAATAACATTTGTATCTTTGGCTGAAAACTAGTCCAAACCATGTTGTTATCCACTTTTATAAAGTATAGTGGATATTACGAAACCATGAAAATAATTCCAGCAGAACAGGCAAAAACGTGCAAATTTAAAGAGTTAACATGACTCATCTGTTGTAATATTAGTTTATGTTAGTTCTTAAATCTGAAACATGAAAATAGCTGGTATTAGAGTAAATATACTTGCATATGTTCTTGCACAGTTAAGTAAATTTACATTAAATATAACTACATTTATTAGCATTAGCTATCTGGGACAGCTTTCTCTAATATTTGAGTGTGCTTTCCAGTAAATGCCGTACATGTTATCTGAATAATTAATAATGGTTATTTTATAAACAAAGGCTATTAAATGTAATCAGGCATAATGTCTGTCACTAGATGTATTTATCTGTCATTTCATGAGCTATGTATTTTCAAGTGTTTGAGTGAAAATTGCATAGTTTTGAATAAAATATTTAATTTCTAGGCTTTTGGTTAAAAAAAAGTCTTTTACTAATGTGAAATCAGTCTTCAGTTTAGCTACACCAAAAACTGGTTAAGTAATGTTTAGATATCAAAGAAAAAAAATTTATTTGTAGTATTAAATTTGATACTAATGTTTTAATTTTTGCAAGCTTAAGAAATGTGCAATTGGAAATAAGGAGTTCAATTATTTTTTTCATTCAGAATATTTTGAATAAGTTATGGAACAAATTAAGGTATTAATGTCCAACCTTAGTAAAGATTATAAGTTTTGTTAATTGGGGCTTCATTATTTAGAACTAAACATCTTGACACTTGTACTGTAATAAATTTGACAAAGTAAGTTACATTATTAATATTTACAGAATACTATTGTGAATTTCATCTGAGGTGTTATGGTTGTATTTCTAGCTAAGTGCATGACTAATACTGAGAAAGTAACAATGTTTTTCTACAAGAACATAAATTACTATTTGACAGTACAAAAATCTAATGTTGTGTGAAATTAATGGAAAAATTATGATTGCACATAAAATAGGCATAGATTAGATAAATACTTTTATAGATTTTATTAATTGGTATTGTAGTTTTTAAGACTTGTATCACACTGTAGTACATTGAGAAAACAGTTTTTGATTGGAGTTCAAGGCTAATTTCATCAGTTGTCACAAGCCTTATCAGTTGTCACAAGCCTTGGGTTGACTTCAAATTGGAAATTGTGACACTCAAGGGGTTAGAAATGATCGGTAACAGTTAACATTTGTTGGTGATGAACATAAGCAACATTACAAATGAATAGATTTGTATCACAAGGAGAAATGTGTTGCTTGAACAACTTGTCGGTTATAAGGCTTACTCTTGGTAAGAATTTGGTAGTTCATAAACAAACATTAAAGAAAGTATATGTGCATTAATGTTACTTTTAAAAATTAATGTAGTTAAGCAAAGCAAAGTAATCTTTGTAACACAGTATTGAAGTAGAAGATTAGACTATATAATAAAATATTTCTCTAACAGTTTTCAAATACAGAACACCTCTTAGATTGAAAGACAAAGAAATTGCAAACTTATTAGAATTTACAGTCCAGCTTTTTTCTATGGGTTTAATACCAGTATTTAGCAACACTGCTTACTAAGAACAGAAGAAAAGGTTGTAGTTTTAGGAGTATTTTATCAATCAGTGTATTATCAGTCAGTCTGTTACAAGGTGAGGTAGTATTATTCAGTGGCTTTACTCTTGGACTTATAGTTGGTTGTACATTCGAGGCTGGCCTTCGTCGTGCTGTTATGTACTTGAGTAAGACATTCCTTCACTTGTTAGTTGTGGTTAACCTATGATGGACTGACATCCCTTGCTGGGGGTATATACTATTCTTATCTGTTTGTCCTGATAGAAATCAAAGTTCAAAAGCACCAGCTCTTTGTGTCTTGCAAAGACACAGCAAGGATTTAATCTTTAACTGTCACAAGCCTTGTTTTACTTTAAATCACAATACTCTTAAAAGTATTGTTAGATTTTCCAAGTTACATTTTTTTTATCTTAAAAGCAACATAAAAGGTTAGATATGTAAGTAAAGAAACTAAGGTTGGTTTTTATTTAAAAAAATAAATTGGAAAAGTGTCCTGATGAGCTAAGCTCATCATCTAATTTCTTCGTGGCTTGTCAAAGATTACATTTTTAATTTTGGTCCAGTTTGTTAATCTTTAACTAGTGGTTAGTTTGACTGTTGTATGTAAAGCTTTTCATAAGATTTATCTGATTAATAGCTCTGATAAAGAACTTAAATCTTGTCAGTTTAGAACCCAGCAAAAACCTGTACAGTGATTTGTTGATATAACCACTAGAATCTTTCCATACTGTCTAAAACTACATTACTAGTATCATACATACGATGTGTAGTGTATGTTCGTGCTTTAGCTTTATTGAAATACACTTGTTTTCTCTTGATGAAGCAAAAATATTAAAATTAATTTTTATGAAAATGATCTGAGTATTTGTATAAATTTACAGTGTCCGATGAGCAAAGTAATTTTAATGTTTTCAGTGACTTGTGATTTCCGATTCTATATTCAAGTTTTGAGTGAAATTCAAATTGAATGAGTCTTGGTAAAATGGAGAATTGAAATGGGACACTGATGACAAAAAAGAGTACTGTATTTTTTGGTGTATAAGACACTTTTTTACCCCAAAATTTGATGTCAAAATATGCTTGCATCCTATACACCGAAGGTATGAATAATATATATGTATATAAACGATATACACAAGCCATGTGTGAATATATTTAAATAGGCATTCATAGTTTAGTTCAGTTGAATGTGTTATTTATAACAATAGTAGTTTTTTTTTCTTTTAAAAACAACTATTTATAATGCTCCCTAAATAAAAAAAATTATAGTAATGGATGAGAGTGAAAAAGCTTGTAAATACACGACGATCCCTGTTTAATGTGGAGCAGAATAAAGCTGTTTCAGGCCTAACTTTAACAAATAAAAAATCGTTTTTCAGTGCTTGCCTTAGATTCAAATGTGCTTGACCAATCAGAGTGCTTAATGCAATTAGCATCAGTAATCGCCTAATCTGTATTTCAATTTTCATTTGAAACTCAGCAGTCTGGCACGTGCTTACTGTCAAGTTGTATGCGTCACCGAAAGCCGAAGTACCGCATCTTAGACCTCGGGAGCAAAATAGTTGTTTCTTCATTTTTCGTTCTATTTTTTCACCCCTTATGATGTCTAAAGAAAAGACTGTCATACATACTTAAATTTAAATTAAGTGTGATTAATTATGCAAAAGAGCATAGAAACAGAGCTGCCGAAAAATATTTTGGTCCTCCACCTACAGAAAAAGTGATTCGTTGCTGGCGCGAACAAGAATAAGAATAGAAAATGATTAAAAGTGATAGATGCGATTTTCGAGGAAAAAAAAACAAAATGGCAAGATCTCAAAAATAAACTGTACGAATGGGTTGTGGATCAAAGAAGGCAAGGACTATCCGTTTCTACAAATATGATGATTTTTAAAGCAAAGAGGATTGCATGTGATAATAGTTGAGAAGATTTTACTGGTCATACATCGTGGTGTTGTCGGTTCATGAAACGCAAAGGCCTAGGTCTGCATGTGGGTGAAGAATTCGTGGGAAAAAGTAAGAAGTGATATAGTGATTAAGTCATTTAAGAAATGTGGTATCAGTAATGCAATGGATGGGACCGAGGATGACATTCTCTTTGACCAAAATATTGGATCCAATGATTCCTTTCCAAGCGACAGTGAAAGCAATGATGATTTTGAGGTTTTGAACCAAACTAAATAACAGAAAACCTTTTTTTGATTTACAGTATTTTTTTATTTTGAT